GAGTAATATAACTCCTAAAATTATGCCTTCATTTTTAGGGTAGAGCTGAATGATATGGCCTATGATCTCTCCTGTGTTCAGTCATGCAGATAGTCATGCAACAGAAATGGCCCAGAACCAGCAATCATCTGGTGTTAGCAGAGGAAAGTTGGCTTTTGAATTAATAGTAAAAGCCATATTAATTTCACTCATCATATTATATTAGACTGATTAATAGACTAAGCAGGTGTAAGATAGGGCTGGATACAGCTCACATCCCAGTTTTGGTTCTAATCTCATCCCAAATGATTTTAGGAGTGTTACATAGTATTCTCTGCCCTGGGTTCCTGAACAGAAATGAGCAGATTGTCTACCAGCCACTGAAATCTTAAGATTAATTAAAATGTGCTTGAGTTTTTATAAAAAAATAAGATATTTAAGCTAAAGGATTGTTAATATGATTGCTACCTACAAAGTGTTTTGATCAGGTCTGAACTGACTACAATGGGTTGGTAATAGTGCCCTTGGGTTTCATAGTTGGGCTTAATTAAATGTAACTTTTGTTTCTTCATAAATGAAGCAGGGACCTTAAGACAGACAAATTAGCCCTACATACGTTATTTCTATATGAAGTTAAAGTATTTCTGAAGTGGAAACTTCTCATTAGTTTCAAGGTCCTGAATTTTCTCCACAAAATTTCTTTTGGTGGTTTCCTTTAATCCTTCCCCTTGGGGAGCAATTATGAAAATAGATGCTGGTTGCAGTGAGTGAGGGGACTAAAGATGGCTGAATGAAGAAAACCAAGTTGGAATGAATTAAGATGACTTTACAGAGGCACATAGACATTGTTGCCTCAAATGACTGAATGTCAATGGGAGAACATTTATCTTCTGAGTACAACCATATGCTTAGAAGCATTTATCACTGTTCTGTAGCTCCTTCTTATTCTTCCCACATTCACTGTGGCCAGAAGAGATGTAGAGCAGTGAGAGGACATGCTCAGTAAATAATTATAGCGATGCATGCTGTAGTTCACACTTGACAGTGGCATTTCCATATATGAATTACCATGGCTATGCCAGTCAACCATATCAACTCCTTGTAGGATAAGCTTTGGCATGCCGATTGCCTTGGTCCAGAGCACCTTTCTTCCTTATTAAAATGGTTCCATCAGACTTGGTGCTCTTGATTTGTGAGGCTGAAATCCCAGTGACACTGTCTCTTGCTCTCAGACAGTGATCTCAGACCCAATGGTTGCTAAAAACTGTCCACTTTGGAAGGCTAAAATTCACATGGTAGTCAGAGACTTTCCTTCCTTTCAACAAGCTGCTTTGTGGTATTCCAAAGACTGGTATAACCAATTCCCTCCCACAACTGCGTGAAGTGTCTTTCATACCCTGAAGGAAGAAGAAGCAGTGTGGAGGGAGACCTCAGTTACTCTGCAGTCAGATACTTCACAATATAGCAATGATGTCAGAACTTTTACTGTGGTCATTACCAAATACATGCTGAATTATCATAATATAAACCTAGACACCATTGTAAAAAAAAACAAAAAACCTTTGTTGCCTTAGATGGATTATTTTAAAACAGCATAAAATCTGCTGTGAACATGACTGTGGTAACAAAGGTATATAGGATCTGAATTTCCAGAGATGATTAGCATGCAAATACAGTGGATATTTAAGGTGGCTGCCCACTCACGACTGATAGAATGTGGCCAAGAAAGCAGGTCATGTCAGCGCTGCCAAATGAGTTCACACATGTAATAGTCCTTTAAGTGTGATCATCGATATAGGTAGAGAGGGGCCACAAGGCAGAAACTGCTTTTTATTTTTAAAGTATTTAATCTAACAAATGGTTTCAGGTTTGCTGCCAGAGTTTGCTCAGTTGAACACAAAGCATCTTTAATTTACACAGCTTCGATTATAAGGCCATCTTCTCAGATATAATTGAACAGAAAGTCTGCCTTGAACCTTTTGAATTACACTGTTTTGAGACTATAGCAGAGATGAACAAAGTACAGGAGCTGCAAAGTTAATGTGACTGTCATTGGGCAGCTATCTCAGGTCTAAAAATGAATCCATGTTTTCTGTTAATGGAGCCACAGTGAGGGAAAATACCTTCCTGGGTAATTTCATGAAAGGAGAACATATCCCAGTAGTAAAGGCTTAGCAAGAAGTAGAGTGTTTTCAAATGCAAATTTTCTGACATTTTTCAGCTACAAAAATAATTACCACACCTTGGTGACTTTAACTTAGTTAAAGGTTTCATTTAGTATATAACCAACTGTAATGCAAAAGGCACATACTCTGATAAACATTATTTCCATTTTAGGACTTGCCAAGGGTAGATTTTTTCTCTTCTCTTTCTCCACACATTGGAATGTCATAAGCAATTAGATGAAATTATTTATGGGAAATGAAAAGGTAAAAGCATAAAGCATTGCTGTGCACATCAGATGCAACTGGCATCTCCACTATGAATATGGTATCTTAATGAAGTGATTGTTCTTCGAAATTATCAAACTGTCCTGTTGTGTAAACGGTTTTATTTAATAAATGTTTTGAAACCCAAACCGTTTCATTTTTATGTATCAATGGGAAAACTACATTAAGAATTGCAAAGCTTAAAAGAAAACTTTTAAAGTATTGGCATATATTTGAGTCTCTTAGTATCCTGTGTCTAGCACAGTATTGGGTAGCCGGTAAACACTCTGTGGAATTGAATTGGGAAAAGTCACCTTAAGGCATAGGAAAACTTTTGAGAAGCAATTTGGCAAATATGAATCAAATACTATAAAACTGTTTTTGCTGCTTTGACCCAATAATTTTACTTTAGTGAACTTATGCTAAGAATCTTAAATACTAAGAAAGGCTATACATAAGGATGTTTATTGCAATGTTATTCATAATAACAATATAATTAGGAACAACTATTTCTCTTTTGTTGAGTATTATGAAAGCAAATCATGACATATCCACTGAAAGGAACATTATGCAGCCAAAAATGATACTTGTCAAAATGCAATGTAGAACATTCATCTAATGTAACAGAAGTGCAAAAAGCCTGATACAGAATTGTGTGGTAGAACTGCAATCATGTAAAAATTAAATAAGCATACATAGAAAAAAGACAGAGGAAACATATGAAGGTGCTAGCATAGATTGTGTTTGGACGGAAGTGTAATTTTTTTCATATCTTTTAAATAATCTATAATTTTTAAAAAAGAAACTCTTGAATTTGTACACTTAGTTGTTATACTTAACAGCTGGTTGTATTAAATTGAACTCTTCTCACTCCCCAAACTGTTTTTTATGTAAATACACTCATGATGGTTAATTAGTCACAAACGGGAAACCAGTCTGGCTAAAGTACATAAACTCTAATTAATGTAGACCTCAGTAATTGGAGATTAACAGAAGTTCGCAGATCTGAGATTCTTACAGAATAAAAATTCCTTGACAAGTAAAATATTAGGATGTTTTATTACGCAGTCAATCCTACTTTGTTTTGTCAAAATTGGCATATAACAAATTATAGTTTTTGGTGAGGTTGTTTAACTTTCTGTAAGTGATTATTCTATTTGTAATTGTAAGGGTTGATATATAATGTATGAAAATAGCAAAAATATTTAAATAAATTAACACAATTATTTAAACAACAACAACAACAACAAACCCAAAGCTGATTTGCCTGGTCAAGTATATGAAATAGACAGTATGTTTGCTCCAGCAGATTAAGCTCAAAATACACGGGAATCCCATGATTTGTTTCTAATTAAAATGTTTTTATAAACATAAACATTTATATATAATTGACATTGAAAGGCAAGGTAAGTAAGCTTTTGCTTCATCCACTATCACGAATATGTTGAAAAACATAAAAGGAATTTTTATATAATCTTTTCTAGATGTTTTTTTCTCCCTCTAAATGCAACCACTAAAAAGTTATTAACGGCGGAATCAGTTATTTTGGGACTTAAAAATGCAACAACTCTTTGTTTTACTTACTCTGGACATTTTCAAACCAATACTTCAATTAAAATGTTAATTGTCTGAAGCTATGTCATCCTTATGGAAGAACCAAACATTATTGGTTTCAAACGTCTTAAAAAGCCTGAATATGTTATAATGACTGGGTTTATTCTTAAACAAAAAAACAAACAAACAAAATAAAGCTTTCTTCAACAGGTTTTAAAAAAATAACATTATTTTTCTTAAACATGCCTAATTAGTTGCTTGCTTTAATTTTATTTGAAGATTTGCCATAAGAAAATTCACTGCCTCATTCTTTTTTTTTTTTTAAAGATTTTATTTATTTATCTGAGAGAGAGAATGGGAGACAGAGAGCATGAGAGGGGAAGGGTCAGAGGGAGAAGCAGACCCCCCGCCGAGCAGGAAGCCTGATGCGGGACTCGATCCAGGGACTCCAGGATCATGACCTGAGCCGAAGGCAGTCGTTTAACCAACTGAGCCACCCAGGTGCCCCCTCATTCTTTTATCATACAACTTTTGAGTTTGTCATCATGAACTCTGAAGACAAAGCCCACTTGCTATTTTTTAAGGAAAAGCAACTCATGATTTAACTATGAGAAAGTAAGAAATACATTTTTTGTCTGATCATAAATAGCTTAAAACACTAGCTTCAAAAAATACTAGCTTCAATTTTTAGATTCTGTCAATTTTAAGAGATAAATGGAATGGTTTCATGGATCACTATTGTTATTGATATTAGTAATATGAATTTGTATTCGATGTTTTATAAAAGCAAAAAGGATGCATTCATCTCTATTTTGTTAACATAAATTGCACTTAAAATTATGTAGCGAATAAATATTCAATCAAGTGAAAATCATTTCTGACAATCATTCAATCAATTAATCAATGTAATTCAGGGCCTACCATATACTATCCCTCTGAGACACAGTGGTGACCTTGTTCATTTTGAATGTTCACTTCTGCAAATAGATTTTATAGATAAGCAAATTTTAAAAATAAACAAATATTTAAATAACTTACCTTTGATTCCTTGAACTTGGAGAAAAATCCAAAAAACAAAAATAGCCCTTCTAGTTTCCAAATACATTCTGGCTTTTGTGCATTGGTAATTCTGATAACAATCACAGAACAGTTCCAAATCTCATTTAAAAAAATAAAATGACGGAAATATGAAAAATAATTAAATATTGATGCCAGCCGAGTGAGAATAACCTTCTTGGTTTACCTCTATAAGGGTGCTAATTTATGAAGAACATGAAGCAGTGTCTGTTTCTGGAATAATCTGCTTATTTTCCCCTCAGGTATAATCTCTGCTTAAGGGCCAGCTGGAGGAACCTTTATCTCATTAACCTTCTGGAGGAGCATCTGTCAGCCTAGCTCCAGGACCCTGAATGCCATTATAAACAAGTGTCCACAGGCAGAAGAAATGCTTTTTTCTTAGTTATTCACCTGTTACAGTGACATAGAGAGCCAGGGGAAGTCTTGCCAAATGCAGAAGGCTGACAGTTAGGGTCAAATGTTTTCCAAAATGACATGCTCAAGGAACATCCATTGAAAGAGCTTAATTGCTATCCCTGGAAGTATGTAGTTTTTCACTACATGTTAGTCTCCAGAGACAGCAAAGCTGTCTCCATTCTCATAGAAATGCACGGCTTTATAAATAGCTTTCTTTCTGGCCATTACATGCAGATAACTTTTTTGGTTTAAGTTTGATTTTAATTTTTTAAAATCTGTTTTTCATACACCGAGTTTAAAAAGTTAAATGGTTTGTGAAAAGTAATGGTGCTATTCCTCCATTCAAAGAAAACCACTTTTAAGTTTCTAAGCTAACTCTAGTATTTTCATTTGTACCTCTACATAGTATGCTTTTATTACTATTTTTTTGTTTTCACTTTTAGGCATTATCAAATAATAGATATTGACCATATCTTTCCCTCTACACACGTATTCCCTGCTCTCCCTAAACACGTAATCATCCTTCTGTCCACCTCAATATTCTTGTATTTTCAGTTTATTGAATATTAAAGTTTACATTTCTGTGACTGTATACATGTTACATATAGCTGAGCCATGGAGTATACTATAATTACTAACATGTATTGAGCTCTTAAGTTGTGATAGACAATGCTCTTAGACATTTCCATAGGTTATCCATATATTCCTTAATACAATGTTATGGGGTGCATACTATTATTAGGATCTGAAGCTAAGGTATATATGGCAGAGCCCGCATTTGAACCCAGAGTCTGGTTTCAGAACGTATACTTTAACTGCTACCCCCATGATGCTTTTTCAATTGTCTCATATTTTTCCCCTTAGATTTTACATACAAAACAATAAATTATCCCCAAATGTTACCCCAGATATGTGAACTTCCTCTTCTTATGGTTAAACACTTCAAATAGCCTGTCTTTCCCAGGACCTGTTCCTGCTAACCCCCTCCAGTCTGTTTTGTTTCTTTTCTTGCTCACAGTAGTCATCTGGGGATCCTCCTTCACAGTCAGGTTGGGGATAGCTTTTACCTCTCTGGTGTTGGGTTCTGAGTTTTCTGGATTCTATGTTGCCTTGTTTCTTAACCTAATCTCTTGTTTTAACAGAGCATCTGCTCCAGTTTATTGCTGAAAGTGCACAGTATTTGAGATCTTATATGTTTAAAAGTGGCCTCCATCTATACTCATACTTGATTGATAGTTTGGCCAGTGTATAGATTTAATGTCTGTGTCCTCCTAAAATTCATATGTTTAAAACCAACCCCTAGTGTGATGGTATTTAGAGGTGGGGCATATGGTGAAGCCCTCATGAATGGGATTAGCTCCCTTATAAAAGGGGCACCAGAGAGTTCCTTTGCTCCTTCCATCATGTGAAGCACAGTGACAAGACCAGGTTATGAACCAGGAAGCAGGCTTTCATCAGACACTGTCTATGCCTGCATCTGGATCTTGGACTTCCCAAACTCCATAACTAAGAAATAGATTTCTGTTGTTTATAAGCTACTCAGTCTTTGGTATTCTGTTATAGCAGCCCAAATGGACTAAAGACGACTAAATATAGAATTCTAGGTTGGAAATAACATTCACTTATTACTGAACATATTAATCTATTGTCTTCTAGTTTCTTGTGCTACTAAAATCTGAAGTCCTTTTTGTTCTTGGTTCTTTGTATAGGATCTTTCTAGAAGATCTAGAAGATCTGTCTCTCTGAGAAGATCTCTTTGAGAGAGACAGAGACAGAGAGAGACAGAGTGCAAGAGAGGGAGAGAGCACTTCTCTACTGCCAGTTTAAGATTTGTCCTTCTAGGTCTGCTACCATTCCATCTGTGTTTTAGGACTTTGCTTAAACCTACATGTTAAGCTTAATAAAATTTTTATAAAGTGAATACTCTAGGAATATCTGGTAAAAATATAGAATATTAATACCACCTTAGAAGGACCCATGGTCCCCCACTCACAAACACAAACCTTTCTTCTCCATTAAACATAGTCATTATTCTGATTTCTATGGTAATCACTTACTAGCTTTTCTTTATACTTTTACTACTCATCTACACATCTGTAGGCAGTTTTGCCTATCTTACCACTATTTATCGAAAAGATTATTTCCTCTACTGTTCTGAAGTTCTACCTTTGTCACAAATCAAGAATACATATGTTTGTGGGTTCTCTTTCCTATTTGTCTATTCTTGTGCCACACTATCTTAATTATTGTACCTTTTTATTATATGTCTTCACATCTGCAGAACAAGTTTTCCCATTTTGTTTCTCTTCAAAATTATCTTGTTTACCTTTGGTGTTTTGAATTTTTATATACATTTCAGGGTCATATTGTCAAGTTCCACAAAAAAGTTTGCTAGGATTTGTAAATAGGTGGTGGGGATTAAGGAGTGCACTTGTGATGAGCACTGGGTATTGTATGGAAGTGCTGAATCGCTGTATTGCACACCTGAAACTAATGTTACACTGTACATTAATTGGAATTTAAATAAAAACTTGAAAAAAGAAGAAATTACATTGGACTACAGATACATCAATTTGGGGAAACTGACATCTTTACCATACTGAATTTTCTAATTCATGAACATGATTTGTCCATTTATTTATTTAGGTTTCTTTAATTTTGTCTTACATATATTTGATTTTTTTCTAAGTATTTGATATTCTTATTTTATTGTAAGAAGTATTAAATTTTATTTTCCAATTGGTTATTGCCAGGATATAAAAACATGATTGATTTTTGTATATTGATCTTCTGTGCAGTGATCTTGAGAAATAAATTTATTAATTATAATGATTTATGCATTTATTCTTTGCAATTTCCTATACATACTTTTGTCATCTATAAATAATAAGTTTTTTCTTCTTTTCGTATTCATTCTTATACATTTTCTTCCTTTTCCTTGCTTTTCTGCACTGGTTGGACCTCTAATAAAGTGTTGAATAAGATGGTGATGGCAGGTATGTCTGTTTTTCTGGTTCCAAAAAGAAAACTTCCATTTTATCATTCAGAAAGATGTTTGTAATAGGCAAGTGTTTAGATAACCTATTATGGAATAAAGAAATTTCCTTCTTCCTAGATTGTGAAGATTTTTTTTTTTTAAATAATGAATGGCTATTGAATATTATTACTTGATTTGTGTATCTTTTGAAATTATCATAGATTTTTCCCCTTTATCTCTTAATGGGTAAAGTACATTTATTTTTCTAATGCTAAACCAACCCTATCTTCTTAGAATAAGACTATGTTGGTTATAATGTTAGTGTTCTATATATATTGCTGGATTCAGTTTGCTTTTTTAGTCCCTTAAACATCTATGTTCATGAGTAAAATTGCCTACAATATTGCTATCTTATAATATACTAGTAGATCATTCTCATAAAAGGAGTTGAAGAGTGTTAATTCTCTAGTCTATGAATAGTTTTATGTCATATTAGTAATAAGCCTTACATTTCACCAGTAAAGCTTAGAATTTTCTTTGTGATAGGATTTTAAATTTTGGATTCATTTTATTTATTTATTTATTTATTTATTTATTTATTTATTTGAGAGAGACAGGCAGAGAGTAGCACAAGCAGGGGGAGGTTTAGAGGGAGACGCAGATTCCCCGCTGAGCCGGGAACCTGATGCAGACTCCATCCCAGGACCCTGGGATCATGACCTGAGCCAAAGGCAGACGCTTAACTGGCTGAGCCACCCTCATTTTATTTTATTTTTTTAATGTATTTTCTTTTCTTTTTTTTTTAACTCCAAGCTTTATGGAGACACAATTGACATATAGTATTGTGTAAGTTTAAGGTATACAATGTGACGATTTGATATTCGTATAATATTGAGAAGTGATTACCACAATAAGGTTAACTAACACATCCACCACTTCACCTAGTTACCATCTTGTTTGTGTTTGTGTGTGTGTGTGGTAAAAAGATTTCAAGATTTACTTTCTTAGTAACTTTCATGTACATACTACAGTATTGTTAACTGTTGTCATCATGCTGTACATTATGCCCCTAAAACTTATTCATCTCATAACTGGAAGTTTTTACTCTTTGATTGCCAATTTCTCACCACCTTCTGCCTTCCCCACCGGCCTATCTCTACTTTTTCTATGACTTTCGTTTTTTAGATTCCACATATGAGTGAGACAATACAGTATTTTTTTTTCTGTCTTATTTCACTTAGCATTATGCCCTCATGGTCCATCCATGTTGTCACAAATGTCAGGATTTCCTTATATTTTATGGTTGAATAATACTCTATTGTATGTGTATTTATAGTGTATGTATATCTATCACATTATATCACATTGTGAATAATGTGGCATTGAACATGGAGGTGCAGATATCTCTTGACATAGTGATTTCCTTTCCTTCATATATATGCCCAGAAGTGGAATTGCTGGTTCATATGGTAGTCCTATTTTTATTGTTTTGAGGACTCTCCATATTGTTTTCCATAATGGCTGTTCCAATTTACAATCCCACCAAAAGTGCACAAGGGTTCCCTTTTCTCAATCTCCTCACCAGTATTTGTTATTTCTTGTCTTTTTGATCATAGTGATTCCAACAGACATGAAGTGATAGCTTGATTTCATGA